GGAGTCTGATAATTCAGAATGATGGTATCACAAAGGACTTCCTCCGTAGAAATCTTAGCATCTTTTGCAAACTGTGCATTCTCTCTCTCTCTGTCCTCTCTCTGTCTCTCAGCATAGATGACCATTTCAGTTGAGCTTGCTCTGACGTGAGATGAGGCTGACACGTGGTAATTTTCCTTCACTGGCCCTGGAAGAGCTGGGAATTTATTGAACACCAACTTTGGGCCAGGCCTTAGCCCAGAGCTCCCTGTGTGTTAGTATAATCCTCCTTAATTCAATTTCTGGAGTTTAAAACTTGATAATATGAATAAAAATTTTCTACAGGGCTCAAAAGCTAATTGGAGCAGGCAGAAGGATAGGAATCCCAGTCTGAGGATAGGAATGAAGAAAATGTAAAGAGAAAAGAATCGCACTGCAGAGACATGTGGGATACCATCAAATATACCTTTTTACCTAGAATGACACTCACGCAAGAAGGGCGCCAGGGTGAAAAATAAACAGCACTCTCTAAATTATCAATGGATGAAAGAGAATATGACAAGGAAAGTTAGAAAATATGGAGGCTTTGAAATGAGTGAAAATGAAAGTCAACACACTAAACCTTAGGGGCTGCCGTCACAGCAGGGCCTAGGAGATGACAGATGTAAAAGCCACTATCATAGTTAAAAGCTCTTAAGTCACTAACTTGGTCTTCTTGTTCAAGGGCAGAAAGAGCAAATGAAAACCACAGCAAGCAGAAGGACACCAATGGCCATGAGATGGGGGTTCATGAAGAACAGAAAATCAATGTCAACAAAGGTTAGTCCTTTTGAAAAGACTAACAATTCAAGAAATCTTTTAGCTATAATATCCAATGACAATACAGTAAGACAGAAATTACTGTATTGTTCTAACTACTGAGAGTGGCACAACAGTATATCTGCAAGCAAAAGAATGAATGTGGATACTTGCATCACATTATATACAGCACTCAAAATGAACCACAGATCTAAATGTACTAACAGAAATGGTTAATGCCTTTTGAGAGGAAGCACAGGGAATAACTCTTGTTACATTGGGCTCACAAAGGCAGCAGTTATTTGCATGGCAGCAAAACACAAGGAATAAAAGAGGAAATACCTGAGATGAATAGCAACAATACTGAAGGTTCTTGAGCTTCATTGGACTCCATCCAGAATGTAAAAACACAACTCAGAGAATGACAGAAAGATTCTGAATTGTAGAGTTGATAAGGGACATACCTAGAACTGTAATTAGCATGTAGAAGTTTTTACAGGGCCTCCCTGGTGGTTCAAGGGTTAAGCACAGTGCTATGAGCTGTCCACAGCAACTGCAACTTGAGTTCCCCCCCAGCCAGCCAGGGAGCTACCTACATGGCACAGCAGACCTCTCCTGTCTCGCCTGCTGCTCCTCTCAGCAGTGCATTTCAGTCAGTCTGCCTGTTCTGTTCCCCACTCTGTTTCTGGTGAGTCCTCTCACCTCCCATAGCTCTGGCCAGTATCCAGTTCTTGTATGCATAAATAAACAAATCTTTAAAAAAAAAAAGTTTTTACAAACCAAAATACAAATAACCCAACTAAAATGGGCACAGCTTGTGAATAGAGATTATTCCAAAAAGACATACAATACATGAAGCTGTAACCATCACCAGTCATTAGGAAAATGCAAAAGCCAGAAGAAAACACAATCTCAATGTGATAGCACTTACCATCCACTAGCATAGTCACATTTACAAATAGCCACAATACACGGTGGAGAAACTGCAATAGCATATGTGGCTTGTGAGCACATACAATGTTGTAGCTTCTTTGGAAAACAGACAGTTCCTTAAAAAGTTGAACAAGTTACCACAGGAAGTGGCAATTCCACTCCTAGGCACAACCCTCCAAATTTGAACATAATCACACAAAAACTTGTGCAACACTGTTCACAGTGGTATCGTTTGAACTAGCCCCAAATTGGAAACAACCAATGTCCATGCTTTGTTGAACAGGCACACACAATGCGTGACATCTATATAGTGGGATGGTTTTTCCATAAATACTGACCCAAACTACAACATTGATGAAGCATGAAAACTTGACATGAAATGGAAGAGGCCAGAAACCCAGCATCAGACCAGGACCCTGGCAGGTCAGAGATCTGACCCAGTGACGGGGACGAGCATGAGGGATGACCCTGCTGTTCTCTCGCTTCCCTGCAGGTCAGGCTGATCTTCTGTGCTGTCTGCACAGTGGCTGTGTCCAGCAGTCATGGCACACTCACAGAGTGTCCACTGAGAACTCAGCGCCGGTCCAGGTAAAGGGAAACATTTGTCATCTGCTGATGACAAAACAGACCAAGTCCTGACCTAATAGGACAGACTAGGATGGGTAAACAAAAGAGACCATTTTAAATTGACTCCAGTGATGGAGGGAGGAATAAAGGAGAAGCATGTTTAACCTGGAAATAAGGCCGAAGAGTATCAGAAATGGAGGCCCTTGAGAAGGTGAAGATGTGGGAGCCAGTGTTCATGTTGTAAAAGGACACAAATGCAGCCTCACAGTCCAGAAGAACCCCCACCAGCAGGTGCTGCTCTCTCAATAGAAGGGAAGTTGGAGGAGAGGTAAGGGCCATGTAGTCATTCTCCTACAGAGTCTGGTGGCCCAGAAGCCAGACTGAGGCTGTGGAGTCATGTCCTTTTTCCTTTGCACATTTTCCAGACAAACTCCTAAGTCCCACCCACATCCTTCTCCCACATCCACTTCAAAGTAATGTCTTCCTGAGGTGAAGCCCTCAAAGCCCAGGACACAGGGTAAGGAACAGAATCTAGTAGAACTAACGTAGTTCTCCTGGGGGCTGCCACAGGTCACATGTCTCTGATCCTCAGACAGAATTAGTTCACGATGAGCTGTGTCTGGATCCAGAGTCACGCTGACTGATAAAAGAGAAAGACACATTTTATTTGCTGAGAAGGCAGTGCACTTTAGTACAACCTTCTTGGATTCAGGTGCTGCCTACTTCTTCTAGCTCTGTGAGTAGCTTTCTGAGACTCTGCATACTATAGTAGGAAATCATACCTGCCACCGTAATGGTGAGGAGGATTGGGAGCTAATGCACTCTACTGCTTGGAGAAGTTCCATTATTTGGTAAGTAAGCAACAAGGGGAAATAATATCTTCTCTATCCCCGTCACCATCACCAACTCAGTCCCTCAGAGAAGGCAAGGGACTGACTAACCAGAGTGGTTGCTGTCCTCTCCACAACCCTTATCCCCCATGTAGGGCCACTAAGAATCATGGAATATTGAAGCAAAAAAGAAGCTATCCCCATTTTTTTGAAAACCTTTCACACTGATTATCAAAAAGAAAAGTAACATAGGTCCTGCCACATTTTGTTATTGAAACTGTTACTTCAGATCTAGGTATTCTATTCAGTCCCCAGAGCACCTGTCAGTCCCTGTGAGGTGTGAAGTCTTTTATTTGCTGCAGATGATCGTCTATATTGTCCCAGGGATGGTAAAAAGTGATACAAGTTATGTTGGAACAATGTACATCAAAATGATCTGACTAGCATAAGAAATAAAAAATTTAATAATATTTTTAAGTGTGATGCTGACCAGGAGTGTAATTTGTTTTTTTTAATGATTTATTTATATATGCATACAAGAACTGGGGTATAGGCCAGAGGTGTGGGGGGTGAGAGGATTCACCAGAGACAGAGTGGGGAGCCGAACAGGTGGACTGACTGAAATACAGTCTGAGGGCTGCAGGGGGCAAGACAGGAAAGGTCTACTGCGCCATTTGGGTAGCTCCCTGACCAGAATCAAAATGCTGTTGCAGTTGCTCCAGACAGCTTCATAGGTGGCTTTTGAACCCCTTGTGCCACCAGGGTGGCCACAGGAGTGTAATTTCTTAATTGTGATGCTGGCCAGGAGTGTAATTACAAAGCAACAATGGTAATAGGACGTTGTCGCAAGAAGTGAAGCTCCAAAATATTACTGAGTTATACACTATCAGCCGCCCCAAGGCTGAGAACTGAGGGCTGACCACTGTGGACCTCTGACCATCCTCCCGCCCTTCTGACTTGTGTTTGCTTTAGTCAATGGGAAGTTGGGGATCCTTGGAGCCAGCTGAGCCAGAGAATCCCCCACCCCTCCAGCCTGTAGCTGTGATCTGCAGTTACTGGGCTCTCTGGTGAAAGCCTTCTAATGGAAAAACACAAAAGTAATGTAATGGAAATCTGCATGTTCAAACCCCAGACTGAAAAATGTTATTTTGCTGTATTTTTTGCTATATATTTTTTGCTATATTATTTTCCTACATTATTATTTTGCTAGATTTATTGCTATATTATCTTACTATGTTTTTGCTATTAATTTTTTTTAAAGATTTATTTATTTATTATTTATACAAGCACTGGGTACAGTCAGAAGCGCGGGAGGGTGAGAGAATTCACCAGCGCCAGAGCGGGGAGCAGAGCAGGCAGAAGGACCGAAGTACACTGCTGAGGGGAGCAGCGGGCGGCAGGAGAGGTCTGCGCGCCATGTGGGACCCTCCTCCAGTGGCCGGGGAGCAGCCGGGGATCGAACCGGTGATGCAGAGGCTGCGGGCAGCTTCGCAACCCAGCGCTCAACCGCTGCGCCACCGGGGAGGCTCCTTGCTATTTTTTTTTTTTGCTGTATAATTTTGCTAGATTTTTTTCGAGAAGTAAAGTGTACGTGATAAGCTTAAGGAAGAAAAGGCCCTCTCACCCCTTCGTGCAGCCATATTTCTGAAATAGGTTTAATGGGTTTCCGGATTTATAAGTTTACAGCTACATGGAGGAGGAGCTTGCAGCAAAGTGACCCGTGCCCAGTTCTCTGCCCCGAATCCCGCCGCCTTGGACTACAACTCCCAGCATGCCCCGGCCGACGAATCCCAGCAGGCCCTGGACTACGAGTCCCAGCATGCCCCGGCCTACGAGTCCCAGCGTGCCCCGGCCTACGAATCCCAGCAAGCCCCGGACTACGAGTCCCAGCAGGCCTTGATTGGACTTCCTTTGGAGCCATAGTTGGTGCCCGAGTCCCTGCACATGGGCGCGCGGCTCCTGCTTCTGCGACCCGGGACCGCGGAGCTTACCTGTGCTTCAGGTGTATGTCCAGTTAAGGACGTCTCTCCCTCTCTCTCCCCCTCTCTCACAACAAGCTTGTGACTCCGTCCCTCCTGTCCCTCCCTCCCCCCCGCCACCCCCAGCTGCGTTTGTAAATAACTTTTTTGTCGTTTGACCCCCGCGTCCTCCTCGGGGTCTGCTCTCCGCGGGGGAGGACCCACACCGGGGCCTCCGCGTGTCCCCCAGGGCTGCCCTGAAACATTCTCACTGAAGTTTTAAAGTCTTTCCAGCTGTTCCTTGTGAAGCCCCTTGCCCCGCGTCTCCCTCTCCTCCGCGGCGGGCGGAGCTCACGCGGGTCCTGGGCCTGGTTTTGTCTCGGGGTCGGTTTTCCGGAGTTGCTGTTGCTGCGTTTCCAGTTCCCGTGGGTTCTTCTGCCATGTCTGATCAGCCCTCAATCCTGTTCTTGTGCATTTGTATCATACGAGTAATTTCTTTTATTAGAGATTTAACTTGGGTCTTTGAAATGTCTTTCTGGTGTCTGCGTAACTTTGGAACAATGAAATGCGGTCATAACAACCACCTAGAGGTTTTTTTTCCTCCTGTTACTTTTTTTTTTACCCCTTGCTTTTTTTTTTTTTTTTTTAAAGATTTATTTTATTTTTATGCATACAAGAGCTGGGCTGCAGACCAGAGGTATGGGGGTGGGGGTGAGGATTCACCAGAGACAGTGGGGAACAGAACAGGCAGATTGAAATATACTGCTGAAGGGAGCAGCAAACGCAGCAGGACAGGTCTGCAAACCATGTGCGCCCCTCCAGGGGTGTCTTTGGCCAGGGATTCAACCTGAGCTGCCAAGGCTGCAGGGCAGCTTTGCAGCCCAGCATTCATCAGCTCCGCCACTAGGGGAGGCCTGTTATTCACATTCTTGGTGGAGTACTATGAATTTCAAGAATTTTAATTTTAAGGCTGTTCTGCTCTACTGTTTCTCTTTATTGCTGGTCATTACTGTCATCCCAATTACCAAAACTAACCTAAGAAAGCAAACATCTGTCCCTGCAGTTTCCTTCCAAACGGTTTTAATTTTTTCAGTTTTTACATTTGGATCTTTCATACATTTTGAGTTAAGTCTTGTGTGCGGTTAGAAGCAGGCACTCAAATTTATTCTTTTGCTTGTAAGTATGTACTTTTCCCATTATTATTTTGATAGGACAGTTCTTTTTTACACATTGGATTGTCTTGACACCCTGTCAAAATTCATTGAGTATAAATGTATGGGTTTATTTCTGGTCTGTCATACATCATTGATCTGTGTGTCTGTCCTCATGCCAGTACCTATTTTAATTTTATTTATTTATTTTTAAAAAAGGTTTATTTATGCACACAGGAGCAGGGGTGCAGGACAGAGGTGCAGGGGGGTGGGGTGAGAGGATTCACCAGAGACAGAGTGGGAAGCAGAACAAGCAGATCTACTGAAATACACTGCTGAGGGGAGCAGCGGGTGAAACAGGAGAGGTCAGCTGCACCATATGGGTCATCTCCCTGGCCAGGGATCAAACTCCTGCAGTAGCTGCATATTACTTCATAGTGCTGATGCCCCACCAGGGAGGCCCCTAATTTACATATTAACAGCAAGTTGTGATAGGGACCACCATTTACTAAAACCCAGCAATAGGGTTTGCATTTTCTGAATTCCAAACTATTTCTTCTCCAGAAAGATTTAAAGACCGCCTCATCTCTGATTCTAAGCTGTTATTGGAGCTTTTGAGGAAAAGCCATGGACTTAGCTACCACTATGAAGAAGATGAAGGAGGAAGCCACGTGCTCCATCTGCCTGCAGCTGATGACGGCACCGTCAAGCATCCACTGTGGGCACAGCTTCTGCCGCGGGTGCCTAGAAGGCATCATTGAGAAGGAGCAAGAGGAAAGACCACGTCAGATGTCGTTCGACTGTCCCCTGTGTCGCACAAAATTTCAAAAGGACAGTCTTCGCCCCATGAAGCAGCTAGAAAACCTTATTGAAACCATCAAGGAGATGGAGCGTGAGAGTCTGTGTCAGGAACACGGGGAGCAGCTCCACCTGTTCTGTGAGGATGCTGGGCAGCCCATCTGCTGGTGCTGTGAGCGCTCCCCCCAGCACAGAGAACACAACCATGTTCTTGTCAGAGACGCCTGTCCCTGCTATAGGGTGAGTGGGCACCCCGGACTCCTGTAGCAGCACCTGCTCTCAGGCTAACCTCAGATCTGTGATTATTTTAGGCTGAAACCTGAGCTTGTGATCAGGAAACAAGGTTTTTTTCATCTCATTTCTCTGAAAAATAGTGTATCCTGGGTCCGCACTAAATTAAATCTTAACTGCCCCCTGCCTTTAAGAGTCTCATCCCTATTCACACTTGACCTGATGACCCACTGATGCAGAATACTCTTGCTCAGACCCACAAAGGCCTGTTTTATCTTTACGTGTGTGCACAATTTGAGAAACCACAATGTGAAAGGCCGTGTTACAGATTCTGAAAACAGGGTCAGAGTCCCACCACATTTTATTTATTCTGCAGTCTGGTAGGATAAACTAATCAGCAAAAGAAGAATTCTTACAATGCTGCATGGTGGGTTTCTGCCCGTCATTGTCGGGAGTTATATCTGGGAAGCTTCTTCGGGTTTTTTTTTTTTTTTTTTTTTTTTTTTTTTTTTTTTTTTTCTTTTTATAGAGGCATGTTTTTTATTTATTTATTTGTTTGTTCGTTGTTTTTTTTTTTGTTTGTACATGCACTGGGTACAGGCAGAAGCGCGGGAGGGTGAGAGAATTCACCAGAGCCAGAGCGGGGAGCAGAGCAGGCAGAAGGACTGAAGTACACTGCTGAGGGGAGCAGCGGGCGGCAGGAGAGGTCTGCGCGCCATGTGGGACCCTCCTCCGGTGGCCGGGGAGCAGCCGGGGATCGAACCGGCGCCGCAGAGGCAGCGGGCAGCCTCGCAACCCAGCGCTCAACCGCTGCGCCACCGGGGAGGCCCTTCTTCGGGGTTCTTGATGGACACATACCGCTTACACTACATTAGAAATTTGGAGATAGTCTTTGAGATGGTAGCTACCTTGTTCTATGTGCATCATCCCTGGGTGAGACTATAGAGACAGATCCTTAAGAATTTGTCCAATTGACTACACTTTCTTTCTTCACCCAATTTTTATCAGACAAAGATCCAGGATGCTTTGGCAAAGCTAAAGAAACAGGAAGACGAATGTAAGAGTATAACGACGACCATAAGAAGACAAATAGGTGAATGGGAGGTAAGAATTTGAGGTTATTTTTCTCATGCTATTTTCCACCCTAGAGTATAGCCAGAAGGGACCACTCAGCAAAACACTTGAAAGTTTATTCTCACCAGACCAGAACAAATAGATGACACCCAAAGAAGGAATAGTCTTTGTGAGCACTGAAAATGGGCAGTCCAGGTGACATCATACTACACAGCTTTATGAGACTGATGATGAGGATAGAGCTGCTGTGAGAACAGACTGTGTTTTGACTGCAGGCTGTGTGTCTCTAAGACTTTCTATGTCTGACCGGTGTCCTGCATCAGAGACCTATGCCTTCCAGAAATACTGATGTGATCCCTCAGGCACTCAGCCCACAGAGTGGTTAGTTATTCCTCCCTTGGTGGTATCTTCAAGCCATTGTCTTGGTCCTTTGTGTGTGGATGTTAAATTTGAGTTCCCAAAGGACAGTCATATCTCCTTCCTTACTGGAATCTTGGGTAGTGAAATCTTCCATTGTTGCAAATATAGAGGGAAACCAAGTCAGTGCCAGAGTCTAGCTGTCCTGTATGTGTCTCCTGCACAAAAGTTCCACTTCATCCTCATTGGTTTCCCTTCTACCACATCACATCCCTGTAACATTTTATGAACAGAGAAATCATCAACGGAAATTGCAATTCTGTGTCTCCAAATGTAAAGTGAGTCCCACAAGATAGATCAGTTGGTTTCTATCAGTTTTATACATAAGGAGGATTGAATGGATACAGGTTTGCTGAATGAATATTTCAAGTAACTCTGCCCAAATTCTGCCAGCAAGAACTCCCAGGGTGAGTACATTGAAATCACCTACCAGCCTGGGTGTCTTACACTCAAAATTGGTGATGTTCATCATAGCTTTTGCACCACAAAAATCTGTGATAGCATTTTTATCCCCCCCAACAACTAGATTTATAAAAATGTTTGACCTTGGCCCTGCTCCACACTGAAATTATCTAGCACTGTTCTCTTAATTCTTGACTGAAGAAGAAAATTAATCAAGTGACTAGAGAGAACTGTGACAGCCTCTCCCACACCTGCGTGCCTGCTCCTGGGCATGCTCTGCAGCAGGGACATGCACATTCTCACATGTCTCATCAGGAAAAAAAGCCACAGCACAGCAACTTCTAAACGTAATAAAACTTCATGTTTTATTTATTTATTTTTTAAAGACTTTATACAAGAACCGGGATATAGGCCAGTTGCATGGGAGGGTGAGAGGATTCACCAGAGACAGAGTGGGGAACAGAACAGGCAGACTGACGAAAGACACCGCCCAGACGAGACAGGAGAGGTCTGTTTACCATGTGGGTTGCTCCGAGGCTGACGGGGATTGAACCGGCACTGCAGAGGCTGCGGGCAGTTTCACAGCGCTGCACTCAACTGGCTGCGCCACCAGGGAGGCCCAAAACCTCATGTTTTCTAAATGTGTGCATATTTTAAAATAAATAGGTCGTGAAATTTACCATGTCAGCATCCTAAGTGTTCAGTTTCTTGGCATGACTTTACATTGTGGAGCCCCGTGTCCACTCTCCATCTGCAGAACTTGTTCCCTCTTCCAGCCTGAAGCTCGACCCCAGTAAACAGTGTCCCTGTTACCCTCCTCCCCCCCTTGTCCCCAGCCTTCTACTTTTTCCCCCAAATTTGACTAAGTACCTCTTTAAGTACAATCATAAAATTGTTGCCATTTTTATCTGACTGACTTCACCGATAATGCCTTCAAGACTCTAGTACCATGTACCAGAGTTTCATGCATCTTATATGACTGAACAGTTTCTCACTGTGTGTATGTACCACATTTTACTTCTCTTTAATCCTACTAGAATTTTGTTTTGCTTCCAACTAATCAGTATCCTTTCTTGATTCTAGGAGGAGATGAAGCTTCAGAAAGAGAAAGTCAAGTCTAGCTTTCAGAATCTCTATAACTTCCTTTACGAAGACAGGAATTCTCTTCTGGAGAGACTGGAGATGGAAAAATGTCAGACTCTCAAAAGGCTGCAGGACAGTGAAGCCAGTGTGAACAAGCAGAGCAGAGAACTCAAGAGCCACATCCTGGAACTAGAGAAGAAATGTCAGGCCCCAGCCCATAGTCTGCTGCAGGTGAGGCTGTGCCCTGGGAAGATGAAGAGGTGTCTGTTCCTGAGGTATTAAGGGGAGTAAGGTGTGGAAGTTTGGGGAAAATGCAAGGCCTGCCTGTTTCACTGTAAAGCATGACATTACCGAGTCATACTTTAATGTAGTGTTTCTTTTTAATATACACCAATATCTGCAGGTTGGCATTCCTAGCCTAGAAAGTGTTTTTTATATGAATCTGAGAAAACCAGCTTGAATATATGTGGTGTGTTCCTTGGGCAGATGGAGCCACGGGTTATCCTTTACCTCCTGTTGCCTCTGTCCCATGTGTACAGGAGTCTCTGTCGATCTGTCTGCTTAAGGACTTTCTGCATGACTGTAGGATAATAAACCGGGGCCCCCAAGACAGATGACGTTTTCCCTGGTTTCATGTGGATCACCTGCTCTGTGAGCTCTAATTGTACCTTCCTTCAGCTGCATATGGGATCCACCCCAAAACCATTAATTGCTGGAGCTGTTTATTTTAGTTGCCACTGTCGAACCGGAGGCCACACTGTAAGGTTGACAGTGTCACCTGACTTGCTTCACCTGCATGGGCCACCTACCACCCCTGCAGTGGCCCATTCTCATCAGCTGTGCATGGATTCTTCACTGAGGAAAGGCCTCTGTGACAGTGATTGCTAATGTAGACTCATCTGAAGCAGTTAAGTCCCTGAAAGCAAGTCTTTTTTTTTTTTTTAATATTGATTTATACAAGAACCAGGGTACAGGCCATATGCATGGGAGGGTGAGAGGATTCACCAGAGACTGAGCGGGGAACAGAACAGGCAGACTGACCAAATACATTGCTGAGGAGAGCAGCGGGCAAGAGAGGTGAGAGGTCTTTCACACCACATGGGACCCTCACCGGTCAGCCAGGATCAAACCGGCGCTGCCAAGGCTGCAGACAGCTTCACAGCGCTCTGCTCAACCACCTGCGCCACCAGGGGAGGTCCTGAAAGCAAGTCTTGAAGAGGAAGCGCAGGATATGCCAGCCGTCCTCAAGCAGCTCCCATGCTGCTGTGATCACAGTGCATAGCAAGAAGATTACTGGGCTCACGTAGATCTAGGGGACAGAATGGGACTCATCTGACCTGGGAATCCATCAATATCAAGGTGGGGCTCACTCTGCTTTAGATGGAGTGTATAGAGAATGCCCCACATGCCAAGCCCCATGAATTGTGGGTATTTCCAAACTCACCTTTTGTCCCTGTTTCTCTGTAGGACGTGAAAGACACCCTGAACAGGTAAGGTGTATGTGAGTACAGGGGGAAGGGGTGTTGGTACAGAAGCTTCATGGAATGTCCCACTGAAGAAGTCTCTGTGCTCTGCTGTGTCTAGGAGTTCAGCTATGAAGCTGGAAGTCCCAGAGGCCGTATCTTTGGAAATTCATACTGACTGCGACATTTCTGAGCTCTACTGTGTTGTGAGGAAAATATTAAAGACCTACCAAGGTATGGAAAGTCAGGGATTTTTCAGTGCTGGGGGTGGAAGTTAACTTCAGTATTAACCACATTCTTCTCCCATCTGTGGGCCAGACATGTACTGTTTCCCTGGAGCCCCACACGCTCCTGCTTTAGGGTGCTCCAGTGCTTGCTGGGGATCTGTGCACTTCTCAGTCTCCTGCTCTCCCATTTCTGAGCTGTGTCAGCCCAGGCAAGTCACCTTCTTGTTTGCCTCATCAGAGAAATGAAAATATTAACAGTTTTAAGTTTTTCTGTTGTCATAAACAGGAAGTGCATCCACCTGGGTAAGGATATTAGGACAGTGTCAGGAACATAAAGTTCATTGTTAATATTTCGGGTAAGTCTGAGAAGCTGCAAAACTAGACAAGTATAATGGACTGAGAAGGAAATAGTTTTAGACCTTGACCAAGATAACATTTTCAAATGTCTTAGCCAAAATTCAAAAATTCTGAAAATTGATTTCCATAACTTATTTGTGCCAAATCAAGTGTAACCAGAATGATTTAATGACTGTTGGAGTTATATTGCTGCAAACTCATTTAGTGGCTTCAAACTTACTGTCTCCTTGTATCATGTGTCAGAAATCTGGGCAGCCCATGTGGGTGTCAGAAAAGGTACTTATGGTATTGACTGAGCTGCTGCTTGTCTGGTGGCTAACCTGGGGTATCATCTTGCAGTTGTCCTCTGGTTCTTGGCAGTCTTCACTTCTTTATGATTATAGGGTTTGATGGTTATAGGACCTGGCTCTTGCTGGTTGTTGGCTGAAAGCGCCTTCAGATTCTAGGAGCTGCCACTCGTCATCTTGCACATCGGCCTCCCACCATGGCCAATTATTTCTTCACAGTGAGCGTAACACCTGTAATTCTCTTTTCTTTAGAACATTTGGTTTGACATTGCTTGTGTTCAATATATTTGTTTACTGAGGCAATGTAGGTTTCCCTTGTTCGTATTTTGGAAACCGCCCCTGCCCCACATGTGTTAGCATAGTGATCCTCTTAGAGAGCACTAAGTGGGGAGGGGGCACAGTGGACTGTGGTGATGCATTATGGATATTTTCAGTATCTTGAATGGTAGGATTTTTTTTTTTTTTTTAAAGGCTAGGTCCATTTTTCTTTATATCTCTGCCCTTTTTTTTTTTTCACTATTTATTTATACAAGCACTGGGTACAGTCAGAAGCGTGGGAGGGTGAGAGAATTCACCAGAGCCGGAGCAGGGAACAGAATAGGCTGACTGATGAAATACACTGCTGAGGGGAGCAGCGGGCTTGGCAGGAGAGGTCTGTTGTGCCATGTGGGACCCTCGCTTGGCGGCCGGGGATGGAACCGGCACTGCGGAGGCTGTGGGCAGCTTCACAACCCAGTGCTCAACCGCTGGACCACCAGGGAGGCCCTATATCTCTGCTTTTTTATCTGTGTGTAGATTTAAAGCCCGTGGTCATTTCTCTCATGGTTTGCACATGTTTTCACTTTCGGATGACTTTTATAGGAAGTAATTTTATTAAAATTTATTCATTTTGTCAATTTTATGAGTAATAAAAACTTTATGAATAGTGTAAGATTATCATAAATTCTCTAAATTTTAAGTATCTTTACTCACTTTGTTATAGGGCAACCCCTATATAAAACGGGTTGCCTGGCTGTGGGTCCTCACCCGCGCGCTTAAAAGGGACTTATGAATACTCCACTACAGGCACACACAAAAGGTTAATGAAAGGTTTATTTACAAGAGAAAGAGAATTAAGGAAATGTACAACTTAGGGAGAAAATAGGGAAATAAAGTCTTTAATGCGTCCTACCCGATCCTCCCACCTGGAAACCCAAAGGCACTCTCAGAGTTGGCCAGATGCTGCTAGCTGGTGGAGAGCCAAAATGGGGGAACCCCTCCAAAGCCCATGTGTCTGGCTTTATACTAAACCTGGCTGCTTAACCCCACCCTCAGGTCCCAGCCACCTTCCCTTTGGTGGTGATGGGATTTGGAGTTCACTGTGTCTTTTTGGCTTTGGTCTGGAGTCGGGGTGGAGTCCACAAAGCCTGTATGGAATTAGCTTTAGGGCATCCTTTTCCCCCTAACAACTTGACGTATTGTATTGTATTTTGTCTCAGAAGTATGTCTAAGAAGCTCCTTTTGTCTTCTCTCTCTCTGTTGCTTTCTTTTTGTTTTTTCATTGATTATTGTTAAATTTCTATTTTTTTCCTTATTAAATAACTTGCTGGGTTTCTCTTTTTTCTAATTTAAATTTACTATGTTGTGTAGTGGATTTTAGCATCTTTTTTCCTAAAACACACACATAAAGACAATTATCCTAAAAAGTCTTTCTTGAAAAGTTTCATTGTATAATTTTTTTCATGGGTGTTTGTTAGTGTTCAAGTCTCTACAGCTTCATATTATGTTATAGAATTATTTGTATTTCCTGATATTTAGAATATGTATACAAACATGCACACACATGCTATGTATGTGTGTGCATATTTGAGTCTTTAAATATTGATTTGTAACCTAATTTTATTGTGCTCCTAATCCATGAGGCAAGCTCTTAGTCCTGTTTTCCTCTAGTGCTTCCCATTAATTGAAACAAACAGAAGTCAGCAAAGGGAGTCTGTTGTGAGCCAGCCACAGCAGCCTGGCTGTCAGGGGTTCCTGAAGGATGGGACAGCCCAGTTGTAGAGAATGAGGGGGAGGGGAAATTGAGGAGAGGCAGACACTACATCAGGGTGCAGACATCATCCTGCTGAGGGTCTCAGCAGCCCTTTATACATTTCAAGCAAACCTTGAGAGTGCATAAGCATATGCATTAAGGCAGGAAGATAACAATCATCACATCTTCCTCTAGAACAGCCAAGGGTCTATTTGCCCTCCTGCAGAGGTCGTGACATTTATTATTTTTTGTTTTAAGGAAGGCACAGTTGCTAAACAAAAGTGTTCTTAGAATAGTCATTTACCTTAAACAGTCATTTTATTTCTATCAAAAAACTTATGTGACTGCATCTAACATTTCTGTTTGCCATAGTAAACGATTAACTAAGGGCTGGGGAAACAAAGGGCAGGGAGCTACCTGGGGGGAGGAAGATGCATTGACTCTTCCCTAGCCCCAAGCTCTCAATTAAGGGAAGAATTTTCCTAATCTAACAAAAGAGTTTTCTATCTATTACTACTATACTTACCAGCCTAGTCTCCATATCTAACTTTAAGATCAAGGGAAAATTTCTTTTTCTGTAAGATTGCTGATTGTTGTTTTAAGGAACTACAAACATTTCATCAGAGTCAGGGCCGGAGATGGTTATAACTTTTGGTTCCCAGAATGGTTAATATGTGACATATCAGTAGTTGTAACATTGACTATTTCCAAGTGCATTATTTGTGCTGCTGTGGTTATTAGCTCAACCAGTCCCAAAATTTCTGTTGACTTATTCTTGAATGCACACTCTAACAGCTACCATATCCATTGTCACCTCCAGGGGAATCAGCCCTAAACAAACAGGAAGAGTTTAGCAGGAGCTGGCTATGGCCTCCTGGCTTATTAGGAATTTTCTTACACTTGGAGCATGGCTCCCGTCTGCCACCCAACTGCTATCTTTAACTTTAAAGTAAAAGAATTTCCTTCTCCATTTAGCCCTTGCCTCAAAAGACCATATCTCCATATTAAAAACTTGCTTGTTAATGTAAGGCCGAATGTTGAATTACTGCCTTTTGGCAGAGAATTATGAATTTTATAAAAAATAATATTTGTATCACACAGTGCCATTTGCCATCAAATTGGTTATTCAGTAATTGATCAAAAGCATTTGTAGTTCTACTTTTAAATGCGTATTTTAACAATGGTAGAAACGAGCCATAAATGAATGAGAATCTAGCAGGAGTGAGCTAAAGAGATTCGTGACTTTTCAGGAATCTGCTCCATGCCCAGACCTTTGTCAAACGACATGAGTAGCCTGGCTCCCAGTAGGAGTCTGATCTATGTGTCCACTGGGGTCAGCCTTCAGGGGACAGAGAATGGACAAAAGTAGGCTCTGACCTGGAAGGAAAAAAGAGAGGCCCAGAAATGTTTCTGCAAGTTAATTTTCCTTATTGCCACAGTCCAGCTACTCAGTGTTTACTCCAGGAACACAGTGCATGGTTAACTCCCTTGCTAAAATACCCTCATCACTTTTCATTTAAATGTTAGCCTGAAGGCCAATCACATATCAGTTTATCGCATTTGCTTCTCTTTTACTTGACTCTAGTTACTAGGCTTGTTATGTTGGTGTGGAGTTATTTCTTTACACTAATCCCTAGGGAACTTTATCTGAAGCAAGACAGAGCGCTTCCACATACAGCCATGGCCTGGCTTGTGTCCTGACCCTTCAGTAACAAGCTCTGACATTAGTCGTGTTATTTTCCTTTCCGATCCTTGGTGTGGGTGGTGGTTAGTAAAGATGGGAAGGGCTTGTCTGCTGTAATCACCGTGATTCCTCGTCCCACCTGGGAGAGCAAGGGCTTTGGGGAGGACAGTGTCTCTGTCCACTCTTGGTAGTTCTGGTCCTTGGCTTCTCTGAGAGAGAAAGATGGTGATGGTGGTGAAGATGATGATACTTTATTTTTTATCACATTGATCACTGATTATACCAGAAATTTCAGCAAGCACGAAGCCTGCATCAGCTCATTCAGTATCTTCCCCGCCATTCTTGTGATACATATTGATGCCGGAATTGTCAGGCCTAGTCTCCCAGCCAGGAATGGATTCCAGGCTGCAGGGCAGTGCTGAGCCCCAGCCCCTAGACCCCCCATGGGTTGGTGTCTCACAAAGCCGCAGCAGGAACTCTGCAGACGCTCAGGCAAGCAAGAGAGAAGAGGCAGGGCAGGTTTGTTTAGAAAAAGTTTATTGAGAAGAAAAAGAGCAGAAATAAAGTGGGACTCCCAGGCCAGGGAACCAGGCCTGGGAGGGGCAAGGAAGCCAAAGTGAAGTCCTGTCTCAGGGAATATATACTTTCTTTCCCTGATTATTCTAAAGCTCTACCAGTCTCTTTGTGATTGGTCAGTTTTTGGCTGTTTTACTTAATTTGCTACTGAGTGGGAGCTCTTCACATTCCTTATCTAACAGGTCTGTCTTTCCACATTTGTTATATCTTTATCTTTATGGTCTTGCCCTCCCTGTGAGCATCTTTACACTTTATCTTATCACCTGAAGAAAACCAGGACCATCCTTAACAAGATTATCTGTGGTGCTAGGATGTTTGTTTTTCCCAGTGGAATTGGTTTTATTTCCTTGCTCTTCCTTATTTCTGAAGCCTTCCTGAATACTTTAGAGGTCCGCTCCTGCACTGTCCCTAAAAACTGCCTAATAACCCTAGCTTGCCCTGTCTCAATATGATCTCACTTTATATTGAAATGAGCTTCAGAGAATGCCTCACACAGCTAGTAGGAAACAAGCTTGCATTCGCACACCGGCTGGTTTTATTTAAGGTAAACAGTTGTCATTGTGAAAATGTGTTCCTTTTGGTTTTTGTTTAATTTTTCAGTGGATGTGACTCTGGATCCAGAGACAGCTCATAATAATCTCATTCTGTCTGAGGATGGGCGAAGAGTGACCCATGGAGGCTCCCAGAAGAAGTATTACAATTCTAGGAGATTTCTGGCCTTACCCTGTGTCCTGGGCTCTGAGGGCTTCACCTCAGGACGACATTACTTTGAAGTGGACGTGGGACAGGGAACCGGGTGGGACTTAGGAGTTTGCCTGGAAGATGTGCCCAGAGACAGGAACGTGAAGCCGGAGCCGGGATCTGGATTCTGGGTGATCAGGTGGAGGAGACCAGAAGGCTGCACTGCCCGTACTGAGCCTTCAGTATCTCTCTATCTGCATGAGCAGCCCCGGATTGTGGGGGTTTTTTTGGACTATGAGGTTGGACGCGTGTCCTTTTACAACATGCCGTCTGGTTCCCACATCTTCACCTTCCCAGAGGACTCCTTCTCTGATACCCTGCGGCCCTTTTTCAGGATTTCTCGTTCTTCTCCATTATTTCTGCCTCCAACAGATAAGTAAAGAAATGAGAAACATTTCCTTCTTGGGGGAACTATCATCCTAGAGAATATAATAGAAATGGGGCTCCCTGGTGGCCTAGGGATTAAGTCTCAGCACTATCACTGCTTCGGCCTGAGTTCGATCCCTGGCCAGGGAGCTAAACCACATGCACAGCAGACCTCTCCTGTCTCATCCGCTGCTCCCCTCAGCAGTGTATTTCGGTAGATCTGCCTGCTTTGCTCCCCACTCTCAGGTGAATCCTCTCACCCCCTGCACCTCTGGCCTACACCCCAGTTTTTCTATGCAAAAATAAAATCTTTTTTTTAATAAAAGAAATGTGTGAGGACCACAGTTTCATCTGTTTTCTTCTCTTCTCTTTCCCTTTATACCTAAAACAGTGCTGAGCTCTCAGTGACTACTCAGTAAGTCTGCATTGAATGGGTGAATATAAAAAGTAACAGTGTTGTGACATCAGCATTCTTCCCCTGGGGAAAAGGCAAGATAAAACCAGGGATCATCCATCGTCCTCTCCATCGCTCTTGAGTGGGTTCTGAGATCTGATTTCCAGGAGCCCTTGTCTGAGCAGTGCTTGGGAAGGGTTTGTCTGCTGTATTCTCCATGATTCCTAATTGTCCTGCCTGGGCGAGCAAAGGCTTTGGGGAGGCCAGTGTCTCTGTCAACTCGGGGTAGTTCTGTTTCTTGGCTTCTCAGACGGAGACGGTGATGATGAAGATGATGATAGGACCTTTTTTTTTTAATCACATTCATCACTTCATATACCACAAGAGTCACCAAGCACTGAGCATACATTAGCTCATTCTGTGTCTCTCCCCCCGTTCTTTGAGACACACAGGATCTCTCTGGGGCCGAGGGCTCCCGGTTTCTTTGATATCACGGTGATGCCGGAATTGTCAGGCCTAGTCTTCCAGCCAGGAACGGATTCCAGGCTGCCGGGCAGCGCTGAGCCCCAGCCGCCAGACCCCCCACGGGTTGGTGTCTCACGAAGCCGCAGCAGGAACTTCGCAGACGCTCAGGCAAGCAAGCGAGAAGCGCAGGTTTGTTTAGAAGAAAAAGTTTATTGAGGAGAAAAAGAGCAGAAATAAAGTGGGACTCCCAGGCCAGGGAACCAGGCCTGGGAGGGGCAAGGAAGCCAAAGTGGAGTCGTGCCTCAGGGAATATAGACCTTCTTTCCCTCATTATTCTAAAGCTTCACCAGTCTCTCTGTGATTGGTTAGTTCTCGGCCGTCTCACTTAATTTACTACTGAGTGGGGATCTTCACATTCCTTATCCAACAGCCTTCTCTTTCCCCATTTGTTGCATCTTTAAATGTATGGCCCAGTCCTCTGGATGGGCATCCCTGCATTGAAGTTAAACAGCTGCCCTTCTAATGTGTCCATAAATTAAACCACTCTCCATTTCTCCAATCTCCGCGTCCCTTTACCACCTGGAGGAAACCAGGACCAGCATTAGCAATGTTGTCCTTATCTCTGAAGCCTCCCTAAATTCTTCAGAGGTCCCCTCCTGCACTGTCCCTAAAACTGCCTAATAACCCTAGCTTGCCCTGTCTCAACGGGAAGTCACAGGAGGGCATGGGGTGAAGCTGCAGTTGTCTGTCAGTTCCATAAAAGAGCAGGAACATCGAGGGAACAGTGAATCTTCTCACTGTTGACATGTTAATGTTAATTTGATCTGTAAAAAGGCGAAAGATTTATGTGATCTGAAGAGAGACCAGAGTATGAATTAGACCTATATTCCTGGATGGCATCATTAGTGCAACGGCCACCGAACCAGTGAGTCTGTTAGGGGGAAAAGGATGTCCTAAAGCTATTAAGCGCGGGTGAGGACCCAAAGCCAGGAACCCGTTCGGTATCGGGGCTGTCCTATAACAAGCCCATCGGGCAATAACCCAGGAAAGAGACGGTTTACAATGGTTAGAGTGAGAGGCTTCAAATAGTTATGAGGTGATGAGTAAAAATGCACTTTATTGGGGGTCTGAGTATTATAAAGCTGATATATTCCAGACTGCTAGTGCCAGCCATCTTAAAATATTTTATCATATCAAAAAATACTTATCGCCGCAGGATTGTTCAAATAGACCTTTAAATAGGTCCATTTCCTTTCTCACCTAAATTATCCAACCTGAGTTGGCCAAGCATAGCACCCCGGTGTAATTAGCCTAATCCCAAGCAGCATAAATGATGACCAAAAAGTCACCAAATTGTTAAAAGTTACGATAATGTGCAGTTCACATAGAAAGTCGGTGTTCACTGACATTGAAGTCTTCTGCTTCCTCTCACCATGAAGTGGTTTATGAGGTAGAGACAGCAGGTGCAACCACGCAGGAAAAGAGAATAGTTCCTACTATCAGCTGCACCCCCAGCAACAAAAGGCCTCCCAGTCATGCTAATGAGGCTGGGCTGTAAGCAAGTGAAGGGTTGCAGAATGGACCGTTTTACCACTTTGGCAGATGGATTATGCCGAGCTGAAGGTAGCTGGGAAAAGTCATAAAGAAAAGCTCTGCTCCCCCCCACCCCCCCACTGCCAAACAGTGAACATAAGTTTGTATTACGTTCCTAATCTCTGTGTGAGAGAACACAGAAGTTGTCACCAGAGAAGACTAGAACTTTATCAACCCACAGGCCACACTGAAAGGATCCACATTACAACCCTGTAACAGCCTTGTCTACTACATATCCGTTTTATTTGCCTTCCTATAATTTCCCACTTACAAAGTCATTTTTCTAAAAAAAATAATAAAAACCTCTTACTGTTCTACAGTTAAGATCCTCTCTCAGCCCGTGCTTGTGTCACCCCTTGGACTTGCTATATCACCACAGAACTCCCTGTGGATGCAGGAGGCACCTGTGTTTAGGAAAAGCTCCGTCTCTTGCTGTCACCACCACACACTATTCCTGTCTTACACCAGACGTGTGTGGTTTTCCCCAACAGGTCGGGTGCCCTGCAGTTGAATTGAAAGAACTGAGGTTAGAGCAGACCCCACAGGGAAATCCAGCTCAATCCAGCAAGGCTGTTCCCCCGCCAACACCTGTCTCTTGTGCTCCTGAAGGACAGGCCGTAAGCAGGTGCCCAGGCTCCCTCTTCGGGTCTGATTAATAATTGATCTTTGAGATGCACCCAGTAAGCCAAGCATCTTTATCAAAGATAGACAAATTTGTGACCATGTCCTGTTAAAACTTTAGTCTGTTTCCAGAACTACATTGCCGACAAAGATAGGGTAAGTCCGTAACCTCAATCCCCTGCATCCTCATAGGTAACAGCCCTTGCCAGTTCATGGATCTTGTGGAAGCTGGACTTCATCCCGGGACCAAGAGATCCCGGGTATGGAAGGGTGACCCCCACAGATGGACAGCAGTCCAACATGTCATGCCACCCACCCACATTCGTGGTACAGGCACCTCCTCACCACAGGGGGCACAGAGGAGAGGCCTGAGTTGGGGTGGAACCCTGAATGCTGTAGGACCCAGCACAGGAGTGAAGGGGGTGCTCAATGAAGGGCGATTGCTCAGGTCATCCCCACGACACTCTGGGATGCTCATGTGGTCCTGGATAAAGAGAAAGACGTGACCATGGTCACCCTTCTGGAGAAAAGAGACTTCAGTGTCCCAGTGGCAGCACCACTGATGGCAGTCCTCTGCCTGGTGCCTCTTCACTTCATTTTTAATATGTGTGGCCCAGGCTGAGTGTCACGGTGTTATCAGACAGCGTCCCAGATGGTCAGAGTAGACAGCAAGAGTCCAGACCCTCCAATCTCAACTCAGTCCAACCCAGTAAGGAATGCTTTTCCCTGTCATTTCTGAACTGAAGTTCCATCTTTTCTGGAGAAATGGAGGCTGAAAGAAGGGAGCAAATTACCTGGGATTTTCACAGAGATTAAATTATAGTGGCCCAAGAATTCCTCCTTTGGGGTGACACAATTGAAAGTGCTTTTCAGTCTTTATAAAAATAAACCACCCGCAAAGGCCCATGTTTCGTTCTCACAACCGCCGAGAACACAGCCCCAATGTAACACTTTAGCAACTGAGACCCAGATGGGTGGTGTGCCTTGTCTTCTTAGAAAAAAAAAAAGAAATTGGATATAAGTCAGGCTCTGCGTTGGAAGGTGGGAAACTTATTTTAATCTCCGTGTAGTGTCTTCATCAGACCCAGCGTGTCCATCTCACTAAAACAGGCACTCAGAGTGGTGGCAACATGTAAAAAGAGCCAACCCCACACATTTCCATCCTCCTCAGAGAGTCAAGGTCTGGGAGGGCAGAGACAAAGTGACAAGTCAGCGGGAAGGAGCAGTCTGCAGCCTCAAGCCCCTGCCTGGGGCCTGGAGTGACGAGGCATCACCCGCTTCTGAGAATTGGACACATTGGCTCAGTTTCCTTGTCATAAGAAACTCAGGAAAAACTCAAAGACTTTAGCATATTCCCTTAACCACATGCTCACCAACACGCCACACGTTTTCCTGGACAGTCAACTCTTTGTCTCTTTGTTCCTGGTGAAGGGGCTATCCAGGGTAAAGGACCTGCTGTGTTTTCTGCATGTCCCATTCCAGGGTCTGATAATTCCTTCCCACCTTGGAAGTCCCAGAAAACCAGCGCACAGACTCCTCTTCAGGTTGGTGATGCCAGGGGCCTGAGGCTCTAGTCTAGGCTAGGAATGGCGGATGTGAGAGTCAGTTCTCCAGAATCTGAGGTGTGGAACCTCTTGTGGGGGCAAAGAAGAGAGAGCGAGTAATGGTGGAATTGAGACTCTGACAGACCTGGCACCTGGGTGTGGGGAAAAGCTTCAAGGGGGATTGGGAGGCACATCTCACACTCCCAGGAGCTCTCATGAATCTTCTCAGCACTTGAACAAGAAAGTGCTCCCATAGTCACCACCGCCTGGAACAGTAAGCTAGTGAGGAAAGTACTGTGGTGTCGGAAAAGTCATGACATATTTTCTAGGGCCATCTGCTGCAAAAATGCATCATGACTTTTCCAACAACCCAGTATCTCCCTCAGTTCTGTGAACTTTTCTAGCAAATGATGGAACTGGAAGTGGAAGTCAAAGGCACCTTTGATTCATAGCCAGTTAGTCAGAAGCACAGGTGACAATGTGGGCTTGTGACTGGAGGTTGGGTGGGGTTGGAGACTGTGGAACTGAGCCCATATCCTGGGGGTTGGGGGCTCTGTGGGAACTCCATTATATCAGATTGAATTGGACTGTAAGACAGGTCGATGGAGAAAACTCGCACATCAGGAGAGCAGAGTGAAGAGACGTGATGTGAATGAGGTAGCAGCGGAAGAGGAAAGGAGAAGCAGGAATTTTACCTGAATGCACGCACACCCCTATTAATCACAGGAACTCAGAGACTAGGAGC